TACGCCTGCTTCAATGTTTACGAAATTTTTTTCGACGTTCCCTTTCGACTGAAGCTCTCTAATCAGTATGTGTAAAATCAATCGCTTTTGATACGATCCTCGATCTGTTGAAGAAGAAGAAATGCCGTTCCGTAGTTGTTCGGCAGGTGTCTGTGGTGTAGCGGTTATCACGTCCACTTTACACGCGGAAGGTCTCAGGTTCGATTCCTGACAGACGCAATATTTTTATGATAACTTCAGGAGTTTTTTGTTAGATGCAGGAGATGTCGTCTTGTTTTAGTGAATTTTTCTTTTAGTAGTTCGTTTAATTAACAGGTAATGATTAACTCGGTGTGGAGCGGTTGCTGCTGCGATGCAACCGAGAGCGTTGTTTCCCAAACTTAAGCGGGTGGCACATTTTGACCGGACATCTTGTCTTAGACCGTAACTGTCAAATCCCTGTCGCACTGTTCACGAACGCACAACTTCATCGTTTCTACCTTGAAATGCAAAAACTTCCACGGAAATAAAACAACTAAAACCTTCATGATCATTTCTCTGAGATGATGTTAGTCGATTTATTTGAAAACGTTTAGAGATGTTTCGGTTCAACGATGTTTTAATTATGAAAAATTCATGCTGCCACGCGTGACATGCGATCATTTTCTGTTATAAATTACGTTGCAGATTTTTCCCTTAAATTATTCTCTCAATATATGCTGCAAAAGGCATTGCCACACCGTGTTTAAGAAAATTTCGAATTGCTGATGTACAGGTGATTAATTCAAAAATCAGATTGATAAAATCGATCTGTGCATTTCTTTCATTCCACCAACATCCTAACACAGCAGGTAACAAGGGCTGCAAGCCGCACTTACATTTAACATTATTAAATGATGGTTTATATCTCTCGTTCTAATAACCATACTTATCCCAATATAATCTGTACGATTTGTACGAAAATGTCGAAAAGTATTCACTAGTCAAAGCAAGTGAATATTTTTCTAAAAAGAAAATGTGTCCTTCTCACTAAAAACATGCTGTCCCTTCGTATTAAAATTTACTGTATACAGTAGAGCGTCGATTATCCGAAAGTCAATCATCCGAAATGTCAATCATCTGAAAGAATTCCAGTGGGCAAATTTAAATTTTCACCAGTGCTGTGGCGCTGCAATCTTTGGCCATGTCTTGTGCTACTCAAATATTTTACGTTTTTGATACTAAATTAACTTCTGAAGTATAATTTTTTATTGTTTTTATATTTTTCAATATATTTTTTTTGTTTGTACAAAATAAAGAAACAATTTTTAACGATACAATAGCCACGATTATTATTATAAAAATTTACGATAGGCTTAACATCGACGAAAATTCAACGCAAAGCGACACGCAACGGAGAAAACTTTTCAACATGGGATAGGTTAATATATTTTTTCGTACGTAATCGGTTATCCGAAAAATAAGTTATCCGAACAACTCCAGACTCCAATTGATTCGGATAAACGACGCTCTACTGTATTGCAATTCGTATTAAATGATTATAATGAATTATTTCCAAATGTGCTAACTACTAAAAATGTTCTTTACGTTGCCAGTTACCACAGTACAGAGAATAGCTAAAAGAATGCTCTATACACAAGTACAGTAGTACCTCAGGATACGAAAGCTTCAGCATACGAAATTTTCAGGATACGACATGAAATTTGAACGTAATTTTGCTCCACGGTACGAACAAAAACTCACCATACAACGTTACATTAGTTCGCAATTAGTTAGATTAGTTCGCATTTTTTTATTCACTTCTGTTCATCGGTCTCACTCCGCGTTTGCTTCGTCGTGGAAGGATCTCGCTCGATCTTGAAGGAAATCTTGATATATTATCAGAAAGTGACTGATTTTATTGAAAAGAAACATCCCGAAAAGGTTCACACTGCCCGTATTGCTGCTCGGAATAATGACATTTGCCTAAGTCGTTTTAGAAACATTTTAAAAAGTAGGCTCAAAGCCAAACCTCTTTGGATAGACATTTTACAGAGCGATCTCTATCCAGTGAAAGTGCTGGTGGAAGTGAAGGAAAGAAAGCAAAAAGCAGTGAATAAAAATTTTAAAAAATATGTATAAAACAACACTAATTTTTTTTATCTTTTCTAAGTTATTTTTAAGTTATTGTTACATTATGTTATGTAAGTTAAGTTTTAGTATCATTTCCCTTCTCCCTCTCTTCCGCCACC